GGGGGCTAAGCAAAAAAACAAAAAAAAGAACAAAAATCAAACAAACTGAGAAAAAGAGGTAACAGAAACTGACCCCTGGCAATGCATCCAGTGGCTGAAGATGTCGAGGGCCATGGCGAACTGGAAGAAGAGCATGTAGGATGGGTAGAGATGACACAGAGTGGCACACAGACACATGGTGGTGATGCGATCTATCAGTTGGTCAAGCATGGCTCCCAGTTTGCTGGCTGGAGAGAGAAGTCATCATATTTGTTTGTTTTTTTAGTTTTAGTAAGAGTTTTACAGCACTTGCAACACAATAAGGTCATATAAGTGCCAAAGATTAGAGGTGTTACAAGAGAATAACAAACAAAAAAGAAAGAGCTGAGATAAAGACGATAGATGTTTGATAGGAAAGAAGAAGCAAACCACACCAGAGCACCCGCCAACCACCCACTTTGTTTGTTTGTAGACAGAGAAGGACATGATCAACACAATTACAGTCATTACCTGCTGGGGGAAAATATGTAGAGAGATAGACGAGAATAAGAGGGAGATTAAGGAGACATGTGAAAAAAAATGCAATTTCACAGGGAAAAGAATGTAGAGAGGTTTTTTTTGTTTCTTTTAGTAGAGGATTTACGGCGTTCGCAACTGCAAAAGGTCATATGAGCGCCAAAAAGTGGATGTCAACAGAGAAGTCCTTATAGGGAACCAAACTTACTCTGCTCACCTCTCTAACTTCAACAGCACAAAGTCTGCTTAGGGGGCTCTCGTGGCCTAGAGGTTAAGGTGTTGGCCTCTCATTCAAAAGGTCCCGGGTTCAAATACGGGTAGCGACCGAAAAATTTTCTTCTCTAAATTTGTCTCCTTTCACCTCATTTCCTGCTCTCTAGCATATTTTCTGTCGTCTGCTTTCGTCTCCTCTTTCTGCCCCCACGCCCTCACCTCCTTTGCCTCTTCCTCTGGGCTCCTGATTCTTTCTGCAGCCTTTCTACTGCTACTTCTTCTTACTGCAGTCTTTCAGCCACACCCCTGATCTTCTGGTAGGAAAGATCTACACCTAGCCTTCTCGGACAAGGGCGAAAAATCTCGGAGGGCCCGTGTGCAAGTTGTGCACGTTAAAGATCCCTTGGTGGTCTAAAATCAATAAGAGTAGGCTTCGGCCGCCACCCGGGCAAAATTCAAAATTTCCTACCAACTGAAAATATTAGGTGTGTCCCGCGCGCTCATATGACCTTATGCAGTTGCGAGCGCCGTAAAACACTTTACAAAAACAAAAGTCTGCTTCGACTATCAAGGCACCCCGGAAATAGCGGGTCACAAGAGTGAGACAAACATACAAAAGCTGTAGAGGAAAAAATGACGATAGTAAGGATTAGGAGAGAAAAAGCAGCAGATCCCTGTTGCAGTTCAGACACAGTTATGAGCAAGACATCGATGAATCAGCTCATTTACAATTCCACTGCGCATAAAAACAGGTTAATGCCCCCCCTTTGGGAATGGCCTAAAGGCACTTCAGTCAGTAGTACCGCCCTGGGGGTAGAGGGTTTTTTTGTTTGTTTGTTTTAAAATCAAAAGTATAAGAGACTCTAAGCTAAAAAATATCAGAGCCAGCAGAGATAGTGACGGAAATAAAACGGTAGTGAAAAGATTTAAAATCTAATTCTGCATGATGTGACTTTTCTCGACTCTCTGTAAAATTAAATTCAAAATAGAACCTCATAATGAAATCACCTTTTTAACAATACAGCCATTTTGAAAAATTCTTTAGTCTTTGAGACTCTGAGAATCAACTGAAGAAAGAGTACTTTTTCTCTTTAAAAAATCACATTGCAAATACAAAAAAATAGCACATCATCATCATGATACAAAAACATGACTTTGGGATACAAGTCCGACTTTGGGATACAAGTCCAACCTCGCAAGTTTCACTTTCCTCTACAACAAGCATTTACTTGCATTGGCCTGATTAGCTATGACTTATGATAAAAGTAAACTTGATTGCTCCATTTGAAACTTACTTGACCCATTGAGCACAATAAAGATCTCCACTCTCGCTCATTAGGGCCACACTTGGATCCCTGTGACTTCATACGCACAAGACACTTTTAAATTTCATATCTTAAGAGTGATGAGGTCAAGTAGACCTTTATCTAAAGCCATCATCATCTCGTTTTTTTTTACTTTCACTCCAGTCTCACATAGCTGCAAAGTGTCCATTTTCTACTACATCTACATATTAATGCGCTGAGCACGAATATCGATTAAAAGATTTTTTTGGTGGAAATATTTGATAATGGTTTTTTAATCGAATGTTATCACACTAAGCCTAAGTGCGTAGTAATTTCCACGTTAAGGACCAACCGGACAGCGGAAATATCACAAGAGAGTCGTTGCAGTGAAATCAACAGGGAGCACGAGGCAGGGGTAGGCCACGCGAAACATGAAGGAGATGTGTGGAAACGGACATGAGAGAGAAGAAGCTCATTTGGAATGACCTTGGAAGACAGGACAGAGATGCCCAGGACAGAGATAAATGGAAGGAGCTCGTATGTGGCCTATACCCTGCTAGGGGTGAAAGGCATTGATGATGATGACAGGGGGTTTTGACCCATAATTTGATGTTTTGCAGTTGGGTTTGAAATTTTCTTAAAAATAATTGCGACAGTTTTAGTAGCTATATAATGTGATACAGCATGCTGAAATCACGCGCTGGTCAAAATAATGAAAGTAGAAAGAAACTTGCACTTTTCCGCTGGTTTGGCAATTTTAATTGACATTCTGTTTTTAGCTCAACACCTTCCATGTCCATTTAAGAAACCCATTTCAGTGTGAAGTATATTGAAAAACGTTGATTAAAGGCATAAAGGGTGTAAATGGTCAGTTTCCACTGACTCTGAGGCTTTGTAAGTAACAAAACTCTGGCAGCAATTTTCTCACTAATTTTACATCTGAAACCAGGCGACCCCACCTCATTCACTCACAAATATCTCTACAGGTACTCAAGATAAATGGGTAGTTTTTTCATCAAAAGCAATGCAAATGAACAAGCTTTAAGGTGATACCAATAACTCCATAAACCCAAAAATTGACGAGCGTCTGATTCCACGCCGTCGTGACACTTATGTGTGATCTGCAGCAAAAGATACTGATTGCAGTTTCACCCCCAGAGCAGTGCATCGGTGTGTGAGAGTGAAAGTAGAAATTTAGCATTATCTCTTTTGCTTTGACAGAACAGTGCCACATTTCGTGAAAAGTGGAATTCACCGTCACAAATTTTCTTCTTGTGTAACAAAGGTGCCAACTAACTAAGAAAAAAAAACCCTGAATTTTTCGGACCTGATGGAAACGTACGCAAGGAGACTCAAAATTTAGGGAACATATTGTTTGATACATCTTTAGAAGTTAAGCAAAATCCAAACAATTTTTTAAAAGCTGGATTTCCATATAGATCCAGATTTATTCAGGAAACTGGTACTTCTGCTGCAATGCATGCTGACGACAATAACCTTGCACTTACACTGATTGAGTAGCCTGGCAAAATGGCCATCAAAAGCATCCAGAAATCCGCTGAGTAGGTAGAAGAGACTAGCTCTAACATGGTCGAAGGGCATGTAATAGAATGACACAAACGCAAAGACCACTCTGAAATAATCTGTGGAAAGAATTTTAAAATTGCTAGATCTTAATCTAATTCTGTAAAGCAGCTATTAAAGCAAAGTATCATTGATAAGGTGATCATTAGTACAATAACCCTTCAATGCAATATTAATGTACAGTTGAGTCCATGAATCTCGAACACGAAAATCACAAATTCTCGGGTATCTCGAACATAATGCTCGGTCCTGTTTTAGTCCCTATGTTTCTTTGCATGGACTTGACGGAGTTCTCAAACACTCGGAACACGCAAGACTCGAATCTCGAACAAATCCACTTTGCATTCCCAACTAAATACTCAACTTTACAGCCTTTCTGGCCATGGGTATGTGTTTCTTTTTTATTGTTACAGCCAAAATGTGGTCCTTGTCTCACCACGAGAGGCTGGAGGAAGGGAGGACGGGGCAGGGGGGTTAGGGAGTGATGCTGGCTGCACCGCATGACCGGCTCACCACACGTGCAATCATGCCATTGGACGCACATTGTGCAGATGGCTAGAGGCGTAACTTTCTGTAAGCCAATGAAAAGAGAAGAAAGGAATGACGTAGAAGTGGGTTTTGCACACCTGAGATTTCCAACTTTCAACTTTCATTCATCTTCTTGCTTTTACACCGTCAACACGTTTATCAAGGGAGCTAACCATGTTAATTATTTTAATGTTCTTATTTTACTTCAATTGATTTTCTCTCTCTTTCTATTTAGGGCTTTCACTGACATGACGAAATATGGAACAAAGTGCCTATTAGAAACTACGCGTTGCGAATAGCCCCATGTTTAATAAAACGCTGCATTGCGATTAGCCCCATGCTAAATAGAACGCTGCGTGTTGAATAGCCCCGTGCTAATTAAAACGCCGAAGCCCAGATCACGCGTGATTTCCAGTCAGTCGGTAAACTCAACCCGTTGAACTGCACGTCACAAGTTGATGTGATGTTTTCATAATCAGACGATCGCTGAACCTTTACTGAAAGTTGGAGATGACTTCCTCTGTATATTCGGAACCTGCCAATCAGCCTTTTGTGAAGATTAGGAATAAAACAGTCACAGTGACTCAAGTCAACAAGTTTCACTCTTTATCTCCGGCAAAAACAATTGGTGGAGACCTAAGTAACTTTGAATATCTGCACAAAACAAACGTTCTAAAAAAGATGGACATAATGGTTAGTGACCATCGCCACCCACTGATATTGATATTTCAGTTATCGACCCTCAGTAAACAATACATTTCCAAAGGAGCAAGAACAGACAGATATAGAAATTCATTCTGTATTTAACATACAATTACGTGAGCTCTCAGGATGAGTAAAAAATGACCTATTTTTAGTACTATTATCTTTCTATGAAGAGATATAAGATGCACACATCAATCTACTTGCTCAAGCAGCTTGACCAACTTTTTCCTTGTCATATATGCATAAAGTTTTCAGTAGAAAACATTTTTTTCCAAGAGTAGTGGTTGATTTAAAAAGTCCTCATGCAAACACCCCCACCTTTTGGCAAAGGCTTACACGGTAACCGGGCATGTAGCCTCAATATTTACGTACACGGTAACCGGCAACCGGGCACGTAGTCTCAATATTTACGTATACGGTAACCGGCAACCGGGCACGTAGTCTCAGTGTTACGTACATGGTAACCGGGCTGTTCAGAACTTCAAGTTCAGTTGTCATCCGGTGTTGCCTTCATCCCCTCCCCTCCCTCGACTGCACCTTAAAAAAAAAAAATCCCAATTATGGAGCCCTATACTTCGCAGCCCACAGACTTTGAATGAACTTTGGTGACTCCAACCGGTACTCACAATGTGATGCGCACGCACAGGTTCCCTGACCGGACACGCTGGCAAGCCCGACAAGACGCTCTTTTTAAACTTTTTTTTCAGCAAGTGACAGCACATGACAAATATTGATTTATTTTCATTCCGGTTACCGTGTAAGTAGAGACTGAGACTACGTGCCCGGTTAACTTGTGTACGTAGATACTGAGACTAGGTGCCTGGTTGCCGTGTACGTAGAAACTTTAGAAACTGAGAACAGGTTCCCGGTTACCGTGTACGTAGACACTCCGAAATTGACAAGAGTAGGCTTCGGCCTAGATCTAGGAGGTTCCTGGAAGTGGAAGTAGATCAACATTAGCCTACAACACGACTTATAAAGTTCTAAAATTGTACAACTTTGACACGATGCAATCAATCAATGCCCACGTGGTAAAATTGAAGATTAGCAGACCACCAGCCGGGAAAACTTCTTTTGGCACTAAAAACTGTCGCAAACTCTAGGCCTATCTATATTCTAGATCTAGACTTCTAGATCTAGATCTAGATCTATCTAGATCTATTATATTTTTGTGATTTAAGCAGGGGGGTTACCCCCCCCCCCCCCCCTCCCCCTTTCTGCCGGAGTAGATCTTGTACTTGTGGTGGTCTGCTAAAGTTCAAAGAGGCCAGACTTTAGACTGACTTAGACTTTAGATCTATATGCAAGCAAATCTTGACCTAGCTAAATCTCGTAGTCAATTAGATCTAGATCTAGATCTAGATCTAGATCTAGATTCTAGATCTACACTTACCGATGATATTGGGAACAAAAAAGTAAATGTTGTCCGTCATTTTGTCAGTTCTTGTTTACACTACAGACTACACTGTCTACGATCCACGTAGATTCTAGATTAGATCTTGAGTCTGGGCAAATGACAAGTATAACACACTCTTTGGTTGTGACACGTGTAAATCGGTTCAACAGTCGAACTGGGGGGTACAAAAATAAGGTTGAAAAAAGACTATAGATCTAGATCTAGAGATAGATCTATTTTTGGGCCCAATTACTATCAGTCCTGTCAGAGCAGCCAAGGGAATACACTGCTGTTTATGTTGGAGGCTGGAGGGCTGTTCAACATTCAACCAAAATCAGTCGAGATTTTGAATCCGGGTATCCAGTTAATGAGAAATGATCCGTTTATCTGGATATATGGATGTTCGTCGGATTCTAAATTTAAATTGCTTTGAAATTGGTGAGAAATGGAATTAAAATGTGCAAGCGTAAGTACAAGGAACTTTGTTTGGTTTTTTTGTTTGTTTGTTTTTTGTTATCATAAAACATTTATTCTATTTTAGATTAATGGAAATGAAAGAAAGGTTCGTTGTGGACTATGGGAAAATAACAGTTGACCTTTAATTTGTATTCCTAATAGGCCTAATTAGATCTAGAAGGCAAATATTCATTCTGAAGTTTTAGTTCAATACACACGTTCAAACAGATAACTTCAAAGGAGAACAAGCTGCTACAATAGATGTCTACTGGCGCTCATATGACCTTATGCAGTTGCGAGCGCCGTAAAACCTCTACTAAAAAAATAAAAAGAGGTCTACCTAGTTCTCCTCCACACACACACACACACACACACACACACACACACACACACACACACACACACACACATACATGCACACGCACGCTTATGGTAGGCTACTGACATCATCTAGTTCATATTAATTACATGTACTTAAGATTCAAGTGTTTTTGTGACTAGTATCCTGAAAACAGTGGCGTCGCGTGGTTTACAGACAAGGTGGTGCATAATTGGAAAGTGAGCAAATGGGCAATAGGCTTAGTAGCTACTATTGTTATTTCTAGAGAAAGCCATTTAGAATCTGCACGATATCCCGTAATCTACATCTATCGATATTTACAGCTGGTTCTAGATGAAACCGCAAGAAAGCTGCAATAAAGTGAAATAATACTAACTACTAACTATACTCCCAATCTGAGAAGATTTAAAGACTTCTAATTACTTCGTTCAGCACCAGGACTTGCAGCGCAATAGGGGGAGACAACAGTTTCGATTCCCATTCTTCATTGAGTTACCGTAGACTCTACTAGTGTAGTAGATAGGGTCGCGGAAACTTGGATCAAATTTTTAGCTTGCACCAAGTTGGTGCTGCGAAGAGCAGATTCATGCACCTTTATTCTACTTCTTGTGCGGGAAGAACGATACCTAGATTTCTCTACAGTGACAAAAATTAATAACTTCGGTGCAAAGATTTTGCTTGCTTCCAGCAGACACTACCGCAAGCGGTGCGACGAGCATACACCATCCTCGCCGTCTGCCACTTAACTGGCGCAGCCAGCGGGTGACGGATCGCAAGGGTGTACATGTAGTAGGCATGCAGATCTAAAGCACTGACTGGTTTAGAACAATTTTTTTTTAAAAGGGGGGGGGGGTGAAGGCCAGGGTTAGGTGGAGCGCTTGCACCAATTGCACCAATGGCGCCCCGTCACTGACTGAAAACAATCAGAAGTAAACAAACATACGAAACAAAATGAAGATCTGGTGATAAGAGTTATTTTTCGCCAAGACTGTTTCGAAATTAGATTTTTCAGAAATTTATTTTGACCTAAAATTTCAATCATTCCTTCCGTGTGCTGGTTTAATTTTATTCCTTTTGAAATACAAATGTACAAAGATGCTAATTTAACTTAAGAGGGACATAATCAAAGCAGCGGAGATCATCTTTAGTTTAGAATTTGCTCACAAACGGAGCTCGAAGGATGGTCTGTGACGCCGTATACTACATGTATAGAAGGCCTGGCCTTCAATGTAAATCTTCCATTCGATATTACCCATTTGTGGACATCCTGATTAATTCCCCCTCCCCTGATCTCTCTCTCTCTCTCTCTCTCTCTCTCTTTCTTTCCCTCTCTCCTTCTCTCTCTCTCTCAAGCACACACACACACACACACACACACATATATGTATATACTTTACATTATATTAATACGAGTTATTTCCTTCCACATGTTTTGTGTAGCTTTTTATTTGAATTTGGTCTCTCTTTATCTGTGTAATTTCACAATACTAACGATAAACTGAAGCTGTAACCAGGAGCACACAATCTAGGAAGGAGTCACAAAATGACCCCATGCCAGACTGCAAGGGAAGACATGGACACACTTCCTGAGGAAAGACAAACTTGCTCTAACGGCCACATTTCCAAGACATTCACCTGTACCAACGACCACTCCCTATCCCACCCTTGCTTTCCTTTTATTACTATGGGTATAAGTATACTGATACATCTTCCTCTTATTCCTATTAGACGCAGAGACCTGGACTTTGACAAGGAAAGAACAAAATAAAATAAATGCGTTTGAGATGTGGTGCAACAGTAGAATGGCCAGAATATGTTGGAAGATAAAAAGGATAAGCAATGAGGTGTGTCAGATTCTGAACACAAGACAAACCCTTCTGAATAAGATAAAATGTAGAAAAATACAGTACTATGGCCACTTAAAACGACCCGAGACCATCGTGAAAGAGGTATTTGATGGGAAAATGTTGGGTAAGAGAGCCAGAGGAAGGTGAAGAATAACACGGATGGACAACATAATAAGAACAAGGACTGGCCTGGATATGGCAGAATGTGCAACAGCAGCACCCAACCGTGAAGGATGGAGGGTCATTACACGTCAACCTCTGAGTCAGAGATGATGATACTGCCAGGTATCAAGGTATACTGATACTGTCCAAGACATCCAGCTGTCTGAGACACAGCCTCTGTACTCCACAACAGGCGGACGTCTTGGGCAATTTCAAAGGTAATCTCAACAGCCACCTGTTGTACTGAAAGGAAATCAGAGGGCGGGCCAAGTTCACTCTTATCAGCCCTTCCCCCCCCA